TTTTTTTTTTTTTGGATTTATATTATCTAAGTATTACGTCGTTTTTGAAGCTTCTCTCTAGAAATATCTAATTCTGTTCTTGGATTTTTGGTATAAAAGAATTAATTTCAGCATGGAATTCGGAAGTGCGAAAAAGAGAGGCAGACCCAACGCTGCGCTAAATGGCAATGGCGGTTTTAAGAAATCCAAATCAGGTTTCGCTGTTATACTCATTATCCTAATCATTTTATTCATTTAATTTAGTGTATCTTTATTACATGTTCTGTAACAACATATGTATTGACGGGGTTGAAATGTTTACGAAGTGGTGATTAAGTGTTCTTTGTTCTCTCTACGCGTTCCATTTGGTCACTAGGGTTCATTTCTTAAGTTCTATGGTGGGTTTCTGTGGCTGTGGAAAGATTATGAGCTGCATTTAGTATTAATTTTTATTTTGTGTTGTCTTTATTGGCCATAGAGATGTGTATAAAAACTGAACCCAGTTAATTTAATTTATCATCAATTATTATTTGGCTCTTCATTTGTCCACAATAGTGGGTGTTTCGCTGGGAAATCATTGAATGAGTACTCTGAGTCTGGGTTTTAAAGGGTTTTTATGGACCTAACTAAGATCAGTGATTCAATGTTTCTATGCTCACTAAAGGAAGTCTTCGTGCATAAAGTTTTCCAACTCACTGAGAGAAGTCTTCATCTTATTGTTAACCTTTACCCAATCTTTAACTAGTCCTGTCAATATTTATTAAATTGTATACAGATTAATTTATAATATTGTGGATTATGGTAGAATATCATATGGCTGTTAGATGTTCATGGAAGTTCAAAAGATTAATAAGTCACAGAAATTTTAACTGAGGAAAACGATTAATGTTCTGCAACAGAAATGGAGTCCTTTACAACTGGTATAGGAAGCAAATCGAAGCCATGCACAAAGTTTTTCAGGTTCTAATCTTNGTTGTAAGTGCAATTTCTATATTTTGGTAATGATTGTAAAATCCCTGAATAATTCATCTCATTTATAGTAAAAATTAGCATCACGTGAACTAATGAATTGAACGCCTATAGTTGTGATACAGGTCTTACTCTTCATCTATCGATAATGATGGATATTGAATGGAAAATGCTGACATGAGTTCAGTTGAATTAACTTGCTCAGACAAACGTAACCCAGTCTATTGAGTGGATATAGTCTGATTTGTGAATGCACTATCTATTTATCCACTTGCACGATTCAATTCTAAAGATGTTTTGTGGAAATATTATTATTTTGCCTCTAAATCCTTCAACTACTATTGATTGTGTGCAATTTTTTGTTGAAATCCTGGTGAATGATCGGTCTAATGATTTGTAATCAAGTATGTTATTCCTATCACTTGACAGTATAATCCACTCTGAAACAGTTTACGAATGGCAGAAAGTTTCAAGATTTTAGGGATTATGTTATTCTGCAGTCATCTATTTGGAAAATTCAAAAGAGATTACTTCAAAGAAGGCTTGTTGACTTGCATTGCTTGTAGACTTGTAGTTATATATCTCACTGATTTTTAATTGTTGATGCATGCTAAAATATAGTGGGTAGCTTTTTTGTTTGAATAAGTCCCTGTTTGACAACCATTAAATTGATTTTATTTTTTTTAATTTTTTGGAGGGGGGGAACGAGTTTTGAAATGGTAATTTTTTAGGGAATGTAAGGTTAAAAAGTAGGAAAAAGTTTTGAGTTTATATGCATAATATTTTATTGTGAGAATGTGTGGTTGAAAATGAGTTTAAGAAAATAGAGTGTTGTTTTAATGGTTGTCAAACAGGGGCTAAGTGGAAAGTTCTTATGAACTTGGATGCAAATTATATTTAGTAGAGAGTCAACGTGCTTGTGAAATCCATTTGCATCTTCCTTTTTAGTACATGCTAAACTTTTAGTACATGACTTTTAGCATGTTTTGTACAAGAACCTTATAAGCTTCACCAAACATGCTCTTCATTTTGACTAATATGGATCTTAATAATTGAAATTCACACACTTTAATGCCTTGAATTCTTAGGATGACAAGTAATTTTCTAAATTTCTTCATTATTGACTGTTGGATTGATTTGCTGATTAAAATTGAATTTCCATTTCCCCTTTTTGGCACCTTCTTCCTTATGGTTTGATTGATGGATGACTTTTAAGCATCCTGTTTCCACAAATTTCTAGAAAGTTTTGACTCTGATAATAAGCTTGTAAAGAGAAAGTTTGTACCTGGATGGCTTGGGAATTCCTTGCGAAGTGGAAGCTATATAGGATGCTAGTGGGGCATGGTCATCATAAAATATTTATTAACTCTTTGCTTAATTAATCTTTTCAACATGGTACGCACTTCACAATGTACCACTCATATATCACCACCTATTTTATTTTAGAACATTAATCTGTCACCTTAATGGCCCACAACCAAGAAACAAATTTCTTCAATCTCTCTACACTCTTGTGATGAAGCTATGAAGTTCTGAAATGCTACTGATTAGCGACTCTAAAACTCTAAAACTTCTCTAGCTAGTAGGATTTGTCTATTTTCACCTTCAAGAAACATCAAATCTTCCCTGTTTTCTTGTTTCTTTTACTGACTAGAGTGAAGCTTGGAAGAGTTAGTAGGCAGGTCTACAAAACCCATGAAATGACATGGTAATTAATTTCTGTGCAATATCTGACTCGCAATCCAACTTGGAGACTAGTTACATGTTAGAAGCTGGGTGACCCGTATTTGACAAGAAACCATGTTTCCCAAATGCTTATTTCTTATTTCACGTCATGGTGCCAAGCAATGGACATGGCAAGAGTTGCTATCCTTAAATTATCCTAATTATGTACATATGAAATGTTGAATTTGTACATGACAATAAGAAACTAAGGGGGAAAATAGGTGGCAGAAGTAGAATTGTGGAAGACTCACATGCGTGGAACTAGTCTGTACATATTTTTAGTATGGTACAAAAAATATACATCACAAAGCTTCAACTTTTCTAAGGTGCAACAAGAAGAACGTTTTATGGAGCTTCAGAATTCTACTCTTCAAACTTAATATAGTTTTTGTACTAAAACAATGATTTCCAAGCAAGGTAATGGTTCCATGAGACAGTATAAAAACGATGTCCAAAATATTTCAAAAAATAATGTTACTGAAAAGTATTAAATATGAAATATATGCCTATCGCTATTTAGCGTGGATTATCGGTAGCGTATCTAGAATGTCTGTGTGTGTAGTTGCAGAATCCTTTTTCCATTCCTCCTATTTATCTGATTTCATTTGTATGCAGTGCTTCTGGGTGTCCATTTGGTGAAGGATGCCATTTCTTGCATTATGTTCCTGGTGGCATTAAAGCTGTTACTCAGATGCTTGGCAGCAATCCAGCCCTTCCACCAGCTACCCGAAACCCAGTAGTTCCACCATCTTTTCCAGATGGATCATCCCCACCGGCTGTCAAAACTCGGTTATGCAACAAACACAACACAGCCGAAGGGTGCAAGTTTGGTGACAATTGTCATTTTGCCCATGGTGAGTGGGAGATTGGCAAGCCAACAGTTCCATCTCATGAGGATCCTCGTGCTATGAGACAAATGCCAGGAAGATATGGTGGTGGTGGTCGATTCGAACCAACCTCACCAGGTGCAGCCAGCTTTGGAGCCTCAGCCACAGCTAAAATCAGTGTGGATGCTTCTCTTGCGGGAGCCATCATTGGGAAAGGTGGCATCAACTCAAAGCAAATCTGTCGCTTGACAGGAGCCAAGCTATCAATAAGAGACCATGAGTCCGATCCTAGCTTGAGGAACATTGAACTAGAGGGCACTTTTGATCAGATCAAACAAGCGAGTCAAATGGTACGGGAACTTATAGTGAATGTTAGTTATGCCTCTGGGCCACCAATGAAGAAACCTGTGTTTCCTGGCCCATCTCCTGCTAGCAACCGCAAGACCAAACTTTGTGAAAACTTTGCCAAAGGGTCCTGTACTTTTGGAGAAAGGTGTCACTTCGCACATGGAGCAGAAGAATTGCGGAAACCTCGTGTCTGAGCTTTTTGATGTGTGTATTTCCGCTGCTTTGCGATTCCTTTGGACTTGTACTTAGATCCTTTTGTGGTCTTGGTGCACCTTGAAACACATCAATCAATTTATTCGCGCCCCCCCCCCCCCCCCAAACACCAAAAAAAAGGCTCAAACAATATAAGTGACAATTCTTGTACCTCGTTGGCAGTTTGCATTGTTCATACTAGTTTTTGGGACATGTAGGTTATGGACCCTTAATATTAACACATTTTATCATGATCGTTATAACCAAGGACGATCGAGCAAAAATGATGGCTCACCTTCATCCCAAACTCCTATACAACAAAATATATTTCCAAAGTTAATTTCACCGGAAGACTTAATTTACTTAATTTTTTTTCAAAAGTAAAGCCAATTCTGAAATATTTAGAGGCCTTGGTCTCACATGTAATACTGGAACATGAAGAACTCTACAAAAAGAGTAAAAGTAATTATTGAAGAGAGAATGCTACGTGTTCTATTCACGCACTATGAAGTCGCGTGTAGAATCTTAGACAGGTTTCGTCCCCTTTGGTGAAACACCTTACTACCATTAGGGCTAACCTGACGCATTACAGATTGAAGTTCTCTTTGCAACGATGCCAACTCTGATTCCCCTTGCAACATTATGGCGACAAGCAAGGAAATATTGTGTTGGTTAAAGATGAGATAAGTTGATGGCGGCCAAAGTGCATTGTGTGCATAGCATTAGGAATATTTTAATGTTAATGGGTTCATCCGAGCATGGATTAGCCCCCTGTTTGCTTTAGCTGAAAAATAGGATTAAAATTTAAGTTCAAGTTAATAATTAATTTTAACTAAATATTTCTTGGGATCCACAACTTTTCAACCACATATTTCATTAATTTTTATCAAAATCTACTAAAATTTATTTTCACTTAAACCAAACAGGTGTCTAATATGCTACGTACATTGTTTATTTAGGGGCGGATAGGGCTAAACCCGTATCCAAAATAGTGAAATACATCTTCCGATTAAAAAAAGGGGGAAATTTTATAATTACCATAATTTAAGAATGCTATTTTTAAAACATGAAACATTGGAATCTTTTCAAAAATAAGGTGATTTGTATTTCTTTTAACCCTAGTAAGACTCTCAAAAACCTATTAAAATGTGTGGAGACCACGTATCTCAAATAATGGATTTTGTTACATGTACTCAAAATTTATATAAGGGATTATATATTGTCACATAGCACTCTATCATTTGTCATTTTAAATCACAATCATCTTTTTTTTTTTTTTTTTTTTTTTTGGTAGAAGGAAATCCGATCCAATCATTTTCTCATTATGTATATGCATATCATTATGTACATGTAGTACAAACGATATTTTTAATATGAATAATGCTAATTGTACGTAATGAGTTACATAATTGTTTATATACAAACGAAGTGTCAAAAAGAGAGTAAGATATTTTTTATTTTTTTTATTTGGTTGAAGAAATTTTTATAAAATTTTGTCTGGTAAAAATTAAAATTTAGACTTCTACCTTTTAGGGTGGAAATGGAATTGAAAGATGGAATTGTAATTGAATTTTCCAACTTTAGGTGTTTGATACAATTTTTTTCCATGGAATTCGAATTCGAGGTTGTCTTGAAGTTTGGAATTTTCTTGGTTTTTAAGGTCCTACCTACTGTAGCACTTTTTTTTTCCTTTTTTTTTTGTTGGCAATAGAAACAAATTCTAAGAATTATTATAAAAAAATATTTCCCTTTAAATGACAATTTTCGTGTAAAACAAAGTTAAACGAACATCAAAAGATAGATAATTTTCTTGAATTTTTTTTTTTTTGGTGTTGACAATGGAAACAGATTTAATCCCCAATACCAGTAAAATCTATCCCTTTAATTGACAATTTTCATGTAAAACAAAATCAAACGAACACAAAAAAATACTTTTATTTCAACATTTTCCACATGGAAAATTAAACTAATCAAACACAATAATTTAAAATTTTCAGAAAAACAATTATAAGCAATTAAATTCCCTAACAACTTTTCAACAACACATTTTATCAATTTTTTATCAAAATATATTAAAAATTGATTTTAATCCCTATCAAACAGGGCTAAATAATGCCTTTCAATTTTTATTTTTATATTGGTTAGCTTAATTTGAAGACTAAAATAAATAAAATTTTATTTTGATCAAACAAGTCCAAATCCAATCATAGATTTTTTTAATATTTGTATGGAACGTGATTCCAACCTTCGATTTCTCAAGTAAACTTCACATGTTTTACTACTTGAACATCTTATTTAATTCAATTATTTCTTTCCAAAAAAAAAAATAATAAAAAAATAAAAATAAAATATATATATATATATATATATATATCTTATAGTTAACCGCCCTCGAATTTTGCTTGTTGGAGATACAAAGTAGAGTTGTTGTGACGGTCACAAGCCTTGACGTATTTTCTTTATTTTGTTGAATAAAAGTTTGAGTTGGAACCTCGTAAATTCTATGTTGTATCCATTTTTTGTGAAGTTCTTCGTTTATTGTCTACGTTCATTTTCAAAAATATTATCAAAGTGTCGGGAAGACTGACTAGTGATGAACTTCAGTGCCATCACTATTATTCTAAACATGAAGTGTGCCAATGATGAATTACCCAGGCATTTGATTCACCACCATCAATATTAACTTTGACTTGAAGAATTTGACAAAATTTTCTCAATTATATGAATTACCAACCCCAAAAAAAAGCTACAAATCTCCTACACGGACCACTTGCCCCTTTAACACATACTAATCACGACAAAGTATAAGCAACGTAGATCATTTCAATATCTTTTATCCAAACAATCCCCAGACGCATGTAAATTTAAAAAAGATGCAACAAGTCTATTTGAATATATAACATGTGACACAAATCAAGCACGTAACCAAAAATTTAGTAGCAAGTTGATTTCGAATCTTCCTCAAATTGTCAACATCTCTCTCTCTCTTCAACTTTATAAGCATTAATCTCAATTGGAATGCAAAAAAGATTGAAGATCAATCTGCTTGGCTATTGGAGCAACACTTCGTGCTCTAGACACTAGATCAATTCATTATTAGAAAGGAGATGTACAAAATAAATTTGTCAACTATCATGTTTAATATAATATGATTCACTTTCAACTTACCAAATAAATTACCAAAAAATGGAGCCAGATGATTAGTGCATGCTTCAAATTGTACAAGCACTAATGCAGTAGATGACCATTGATTAGTCACCACTCACTAATCTCTAAAATGTGTTGTTCCTCGGTAATATTAAAATTTCTAACATGGCGAAAGGGTGAAGCCGCCAAACATCAGTGATCAGACCACTTAAAGTTCCTTATATTCAATGTATCTTGAAATTTTTTTCTATATTCCTGAATCACTCCAAAACCATGTCTATAAATTAACCTTCAAGGTCCTTGGTCATTTAAGGCATTTGAACTTGATTTTGTAACATTTTTTCGAATTAGAAAACATGCAGAAATCATACAAATTGACTTGTGTTTATTTTGTTCTAACGTGTTTAATGTTATTTGTAGCAGCAAGGTCTCAACTGACTGAGGATTTCTACGTGAAAACATGTCCGAATCTGTTTAATATTGTTCGTAAAGAGGTTCGAAATGCAATCAAGTTTGAGATGAGAATGGCAGCTTCTTTGCTTCGGCTTCACTTCCACGATTGCTTTGTTAATGTGAGTAAAGGACAAAGTAACTATATTTTAAACTTTTGTTACTTTATTTTAAAAAAAGAAAAAAGAAAAAAAGTTCTCCCAAGCTGGTAGGCCACGAACTATAATATTTTATGTGCCTCATGCAAAAATACTGTCCTGCTGGAGGGTGTAAAAAGAATGATGTGTCATGCCAATCCATTAGGCATAATGCACCAAGTTGAATTTTCAGGATACGGGTTTTTTGTCCAGCCCTACTCACGATCTAGGCCAGACTTCAGGGTGGGTCAGCCCACAGGAGGTCATGTCTTGTCTCGTCATGTCATGCCTATGTCGAACTCATTTTTACACCTCTACGAACATATCGGTTTGATCATTGCTTATGCATCTTTGGTCGTTTATAATTGCATTGATTTGTCTTGACCTTTTAGGGGTGTGATGCATCAATTTTATTGGATGGAAATGATGGTGAGAAATTTGCAGCCCCGAACCTGAATTCAGCTAGAGGATATGAAATAGTAGACACAATAAAAAATGCAGTAGAGAGTGCATGCAGTGGAATTGTTTCATGTGCAGATATATTGGCTATAGCTGCCAGAGATTCAGTGCTCCTGGTCAGTACTTATCGTTTATGAGCAAGTGAGAGAGCAAAACAAATATAAGCTAAAATCTTGTCACTGTTTAAAATTGTTCAGTACTATGTAGTAAATATGCACTCAAAAAGAAATTTAAGCTTTCTTTTGCGATAAAACATGTCTTCATGGCATGTTTAGTAAGCGATAGTGGATTGGACTTGACGTTATCGATCTAGTCATGTTCAATGTTGATCAAATAGACTTTTGATACGTTAAGTAAGGTGAATTGGATAGTAAGCACTTCAAAATGAGAAAGAAACTAAAATTTTGTTTATTGTATTATTTAGCATAGTTTAACATCGATGCACTTGTTTTAGAAGAACGAAACTAATTAGAAGCAAAATTTTGCAGAGTGGAGGGCCTTTATGGAAAGTTTTGCTTGGGAGAAGAGATGGATTAGTGTCAAATCAAACAGGAGCCAATATTTCACTGCCTTCTCCCTTTGAAACTCTAGAGGCAATCATTGCCAAATTCATAGCTGTTGGCCTCAATACAACAGATGTTGTGGCCTTATCAGGTACTCTGCACCTTTTTCAGCAAGCGACAATCAAACTTGTCCGGACAATATTAAGAAAAGGAAGTTAAAATATTCTTCACAGTACTAAACGGTAACTAAAACCAACATTAACATACAATCTTCACATATAGGTGCTCACACAATCGGGTTATCAAGATGTGCTTTCTTCAGCAATAGATTGTCAAATTTCTCCGGGACAGGCGCTCCAGACAGCACACTGGACAGCACCCTAATTTCTGAACTCCAAAGTGCGTGTCCAGTAAACAGTGATGGGAACAACACAGTTCCTCTTGACAGGAACTCAAGAGACTTGTTTGATAACCATTATTTCTCAAACTTGCTCAATGGGAGGGGCATTCTTCATTCTGATCAGACTTTGTTTTCCAGTGACGCAGCAGTGTCAACAACCAGAAGTCTTGTTCAACTCTACAGTAATAATTCTGCTTTATTCTTCAATGATTTCATTAATTCGATGATTAAGATGGGGAACATAAGTCCGGTAACTGGATTGAATGGACAGATTCGAAAGAACTGCAGGGTCGTAAATCCGTAGAATATTTCTCAGATGAAAATAATTAGATGTTTAGTGATATAGAATGATGATGTTTGTAACATACATATTATAACTGAATGCAATATCTTGTGCACTTTCGTGGATCACCTTCGCCCGTTAATAACTTCTGCTTCCTTAACACTCCTCCTGTTCCCGCATCTCTACTTGGAGCAGCTCGGAAGACACCCTGAGTTGCTGTGAAGCTGGGGATTGAGGGAGAGACTCAACAGGGCTAAAACTCACCAATAATTCTGGTTTCACAAAGTGATGTCAATTCAGGGAGATCAGTGTAGAAATAAGAAAAGATGACTTCCCATCAAACTTTTCTTTCCCATAAACGGAAAACACAGCATAAATCATATTATTATACATTGGCTCGATCCCATGAAAACCACACACCCTTTTTACTTTCAACTACAGCTAAAATACTATACCTCGAGTTAAATTTTCTTTTTCATGGTTACAAACCATCCAAAAGAAAAAAAGGAAAAAAAAACATTCCCGTCTAGAGAAAGTAGAATTACACACGTGTTTGTGCGACGAAGTTGTTAGCAGATATTCATGCATGAATCTCTGTGTTGTTAATTTGCCAATGAAGCTGTTGTGTTTTGTACTTTCTGCTGCAGTTGTTTTTGTTTATGTCTCAACAGTAACTGAGAAAACATGATCTCGTTCCATGTATCCGGAACACCAGGAAGGCACCAATGGCTACAATCTTGGTGCCTGATGAACTCTTGCTTCTTCTCTTCTGTCATGTTCGCCTGCCTGTTATTGAATACATAATTTAAATAAACAAACGTGTCCCATAACAGCTTTAGATGATGTGGTTCAATATAGTAACAAAAACAGACTTCAAAGGAAAAAATGAATCTATTCTACACGTGAGTTTGTGCTTAGAGCAGAATGGAACCTACTATGGGAAATACAATGCATTATAGGCATATAATTGATCGTTATGCTTCAACCGTGTTATTAATATTCCACCTCTTAGAAAGTGATGAAATAGTCTCTCCCCCCCTAAAAGCATGTTTATTCTACCAACGTACAAAGAAAATATTTTGTTGCGAATGAACGGTTTTAAATAAACAAATGTGTATCCATTCTAATATCTTTTAGAAAAACGAGTTCAACACCTGTATATTGAGGGGTGTGCATCCCGGCGAAAATCAGTCATTCTTGTAATGTTCAAATAGAACACAGTTTGTTTCATCCCCTTCAGGACATCCTCCAACGTATCCGGAATTGGAGGAAAAACAGGCATTAGCTCTTCTTCATTTGTTATTGGCTCTGTATCACTATCACATTTTCCACCCGAATACCATTCTCCACCACTGTAAAAATGATCAAGAAGGGAAAAAATAATAATAATAATAAATAAATAAAATAAATTTAATAATCACATTTTCAAGTTCAGGAAATTTCGTAGGTGAATTTAGAATCAGGACGGAATTTGATTAACCTGAAATGAGAGACTGAGTAACCTCTAAAGAAAACGTGTGTCTTTCTAGGATTTATGTTGGATTCAATCCATCTTGCCCACGTTGTCATTGCTTTATGAAATGCTTCCGTTACATCCAATTTTCCGTAAACATGGTTTCCTTCCTGATAGTATCCTTTGCTGCAAGATTTTGATGAATTTTGCAATAACTCAATCAATATTTTTTTTAATATATAAAGGGTTCAGTAAGCAACATGACAAAGATACACACTAGAAACACGTAGGCATATATATGTCATGTTGTTTGAGATAATTGAAGCATGTCTCCTCACAAGTTTCTTCACAAAAAATAGATGTAAGAGGGTGTCTTGGATTGCCTAGCATAAGGTCTCCGACATATGGAAAAGGACGAGACTGACTATGGAAAATTATTGCATGCAGACACGGGGAGAGAGAGAGGAACAAGAGAGCAATACCCTTCAGATGTTTTCTCATGTGTCCACCAGTGTCCCGTGTTAAAGACAAGAACATCTGCATCTTTGTATTTGTCGCATGACCTCTCAACCAGATCAAGTCTAAGGGTTTCCTTCTTTGTTCCATTGTTGTCCGGCATTTCCCATTCTTGAACCAAGAATGGAGATCGAATGAACTCCACAGAACAATTATAATCCTACTCCATAAATTCAACACAGACTTTTTAATGGGGGAAAATATCAGCAGAAACATTGGATACAAGAAATCAAAATGATTAAAATCATAGTAATTTCCAAACCAGATTGATTAATCCAAACCAGATTTATTAAGTATTTTATCCTAATTAATTCAGAAATGTACACAACTTATAGCACGTTTCTCTCCGCTTTAAAAGGATGCCGTTTTCATCTAATTTGGGCAGTACGCAGACACATATTGCCCAAATAGTCATCCAAAAGAGATGCTTTCAAACAGGGCCAGCAGACATGCTATTTAACTAAAAGAACACTATGAGAAGCAGAACTCACAGAGAATACAAAGGAGTAGGCGCCTTCTTTCTTGAATTCGTATTTACCAGAGGCTTCAAAGACTTTGCTCTTATCCTCTACTGAATTCCAGAGAAGACAAACCATGGATTCCCACATGTTCCTATTCAAGGAATCACCCACGTACACTAAACGCTTCCCTCTCAATAATTCCAACATGTTTCTACCACTCAACCTGCAAAAGAAATAAACAAAAATGTACATGCAAGTGCATATTAACTAATAACATCACAACTTCCCCATAAATTTAGAGACGGCTACATTAATTTTTTCCTCTACTTCATTTGTTGGATTCATTGCTAAATCTACGAGGAGATATAAATCAGCATTAACTAATGACGCACAAAGATAAGGTTTCAAAAATTTCTTCTTTCCTTGGGTGTGTTGGGCAATTAAAAGACAAGATGTCAATGAGATGAATTTAGTCTTCTTTCGTTCTAAAATGTTAGAACATCTTCTTTAAGAATTGGCATCATTCTGATAGAATAATTCAGGAGGGTATCTTCTAGTTTATATAGAAATGAACGGAACGAATTAAAAAGACTTATATAATAACCATGCTCAAATTTATCGAGAATAAAACTTAGTCCACATTTTTCTTCTTGCCTTGGGATGCTGCAATGATTCGGCCGCCATGTATACTTCTCAAAGCCATTATCAGGCCTTCCATTGAGATAACAGTTGAAAGGTTCATCAATATAAGGACATGAACCTGGTTTATATGAAGGATTCAAATCCTCCCTAACCCATTTCCCATAAAAAATATCACATTTACTCATCGTTTTCACCCAACTCTCATTCACCTCTACCTTTGATTCAAAATCTGTACTGTTCAATCTCACATTCTCCTCTCCAGCCCTTTCTACCCCATGATCATCAACCTCATTCACCAACTGATCTGTTTTCATCAATGTCCCGTTTTGAGAAACAGGATCCGACCCCTGGATATCAGGATTGTATAGCGTGCTCTGATGGAAGAAGAAATAGTTAGATACAGACGAAAACTGGGACCTGTTACTCAATAAATTCTTCGAGGAATGATTAATGGAAGAATTATTGGATATGTAAAAAATGGTGCATCCGACAAAAAAGAACATGAAAGCAGAAGCTAATAGCGGTCGGGTCCTGAATGTAGGAGAAGATGAAAATATGCTCCTTTTCAGTGTCCTTTCTGGTAATTTTGTCATTGGTAAAACTGTTGGTGATGAAGAATCAGCCATTGGAGCAGAAAATTAAGCTGGAAAGAGAGAAATAATGAGATTTTGATAGAGAGAGAGAGAGAGAGAGAGATTGGGAAGTTGGAATCGAGTTACTGAAATGGAATCCTTTTGAGAATTATATGAGAAATTATTCTTGAAAAATGGAATTAAAAGAATTTTGTGTTCCATAATTATTTGAAATTATTATTGTGGTCGTTAAAAGATTTGTTGATTTCTACTTTTGCTTTGAAAACACGGTATTGACTGGGTTAAATAATCCTTTTACTGCGGGAGCTTTTCATATCGACCACCATTCAATTTATTCATCTAACAAAATTGATTCCACCCTTCTCAAAATTTCATCTTTACACACTTGGTGTTAAAATGTGGCACAGCCAGCACGACCCAGATCACAATGGGTCGTGCCTGGTTTAGCTGTGGAAACTCTCGGCCGATGCAAGCTTAAGAGCTCGTGCATCTTGGCACGTCAAAAGCACGACCCAGCTCATGAAGGAAACTCCTGCCGGTGTGAGCACAAATTATCAAAAGTTCCCTGTAAATTCAATAATTAAGACCAAACGCACATCATTATCAAAATCGATGCAAAACAAAAGGTTTACGTCAGAGAATAGTTGAGTACATAGATTATTAGAACCTGAATTTCAAATGAGAAATACTCCCAGAAATAATTCAGAAACTCCAAATCCCTACTCTACATTCAGATCAGTGCAACAATCTAATCAATCCCTGTAAATTTATGAAGAAACCCTTAGCCTTGAGGGTGTGATTACAACACGGCTATATTTTTATTTGTAAATTAAGCTCCAATGAAGATCTCTGTTTCCGAATAGAATTACAATCCAGCCTTTTTCTCCAATTTTTGAATTTGGTTCAGGAATATCCAGGTCATCTGCAATGGATTACAAACATTGTCAACAAGCCAGTTTGAAAAATGGAGGTCGATAAAGATAAAGATATGCACATACAGAGAGAGTTAAAGAGTGAGTACCATGACATGAGGTGCAATTCTAACACAGTATACGGGAAATCCAGTGTAAAATTTAAAAGGCCCTCCTGCTTTCAGGGTTTTCATGGCACAATCTAACGAACCAGTATATGGAAATTTCCCTTCAGCATCAGGCTGCATTTTCTGTATTTGGGTTTTGACATAATCAAATGGTAAACTGCAAGCAGAAGCAAAAAATCCTGATACAGTACTCGCCCCTGAAAAATAATCAAAAATGGATTAAATTATGCAAAATCAACGTAAGGTATATATGACTTGATTATGCTTCAAATTTTATCCAACATCATGTCAAAACAGAATCAACTAGAATGACCAACCAAACCAAACAATGTTGTTATTTACATTTCATTTCCTATTTCTTTTTTCTTTTGCTTCTTATTCAATATAAGCATAATTTTCCCTTCATAAACCTGTGATGATCTGTAAAGATAAAAATGTACATAAGGGTCCACTTTAAAGGTGCTAAGACATGAAGATAGCTAAACAAATTATTTGAACTGGCCATTCCAAATTTTCTGATAAAATCAAATCCAAAAGGGAGTATTCTCCGTGGATAGTCACCTAGACATGCCATCCCATCAATACCTAATAGTTCAAAGCTTTAGAATCCGATCCACATGTTATCATGCACAATTGCACATATACTGAAAATGATAACTGCTGAAAGAGAAAGTATGTTTGGCTAAGCTTAAAAAGTTTAGTGTAGAGTAAATATTGTTTTATTGGTCAAACTGGAAATAAGCAATTCACTTGTTTTGAGAGTAACTTCAGAGATAATTTCAGTAACAGTAACCTTGTTTCAGCTTAGCCAAACAATAATTACATGGAAGCAGGGCCAACACGAGTATACAGAGGTTCAAAAGTATTTCACCTATCACTGTAGCAGCCTCGCCAAAACCAAGATTGTCCTTGAAGAACTCCACACTTTGATCATAAGAAGCAAGCATTCCCATGTTAAGTGCCATAGCCCTCACAACAGTAGGGCCGGCACCTTTCCAGAGTGCCAAAACTCCTTCATCAGCAACAATTCGATAGAGGGCATGGAAAGCATTTGTATAATGCCGGCGCTGAGCAGCAGGTAACGTCGCATCAGCCTGCATGCGGATTAGTGCCAAATCTGCAGGACTTCCTACACATGCTCCTATGGCTCCTGCTGTCAACCCACATAAAGCCTTCTGATATAGCGGTAAGGGCTTCCCATCATTGGCTTCAATTGCCTTGTTAGTCAAAATCCTAATGAACCAAACAGTTAATAACTACGAACCCAATTTGATTGCTTCAAAACGATCCTCTTGTATAGATATTGTAATGCAAATTCATATTGACTAATTATACACATGGCCATAAACTTATTCAGTTGTCCATATTTATGAGCAATACTCACCTAAATGAACCAAGACGGGCAGTTGTATACGTAGCTTGTCGAAGAAGACCAGCCGACAAACCCTGCAGAAACAATAATAACAATATTTGCAAGAGAAAGGTAATACTTTGGCATCAGAAGAGCAACTGTAAAAATTAAATGAGCTTAAATAACATTAAAAAAAAACCAAAAAAAAAACAGAATGATTATACAGGTCTTTTAAAGAAAATCACAAGAGTAAGCATTTTGCAGGATGAATAAATCAGTTCAAGAACAGAATGTTCTCAAGTTCTCCGTAATATTAAAAAAAGGTTGTGCTCAACTAATTTCTTTTCTACGTTTAAAGACTCAGATGTATAATAATAACCTTTTCAATCTATCATAGAAACCGTTGGGAAAAGAGTTAAAAATATCAAAAGAAGATATGAAACTGCCCAAACTAATTTCCTTAGTGCCATCCAATTTAGAAGACAAAAGAAAATGTGCCAAATGTCATGAGAATGCCGACTATACCATCACAAATGCTGCCACAATTACATGACCCAAATAGACTAAAGATTTATTTTTTAGCACATATCTAACACTTCAATACTTCAATTGAACACGAAAGTGCAAACTTTTCTCTAGTGAGGATCAATAATACTAACGAAAAACAAACCTTGTAGAAGGCACCAATTCCCTCATTTTTATACATGGTCTTAGTCACCTCAGACGCGGACCCCTGACCCAATTGAATTCTCACCTGCAATGAGCATTACAGCATCACAGATCAAATTCAATAACCATCAACTCCTTTGAACACAAAGAAAGCGCTGTTTCATTCCGATTGACAATTTCAATATTTATTTCAAAATCCATCAAATAATGAGATCCAAACAAACCCTTAAAAATTCCGTTTTTATAAGGTTTAAAGAGAACTGTTAGTTCAATCAAATCGAGGTTAAGCAAAAAATAAAAATAAAAACAAAAATAATTTACCTGAGATATAGAACTCATCTGAACTTAAAGATTTTAAGCAATTTAATTGTAATTGGTTCATATCGAAATAACACACTGTCATATTACCCCAAAAAACTGAAAAAGTAATTATTCGAAAACGGCCAATTTTGATTCAAGATCTAAAAAGCATACTATGAACCTAAACAAAAATCTTGAAACAAATTCATTCGCACACAAAAACAACATGATATCGGTGTATACACACATCATTTTCTAGGATGTTACCTTGATCATATCAATGGGTTGGATGACACAAGTAGCAAGCATACCAGAAGCACCACCATTCACAAAGGGCTTCACGGCTGGCCACACTCCACCAGATTTTGGCTTCTCCTCTCCCATTGTTTCCTTTTTTCTCTTTCTCTTCCTTTACTTTTCTCACAATTTCGAACAGTAGAAGAGAGAGAGCTTTCTTGACGAACAGAACGAGGTTTTGTGTACGAGGAAATGGAAAGAGAAGATTACTTGAAGCAGCTGAAAGTGCATTTATTACCAGGAGTCATGATATCGGACCAAAACCCTGACAAGTTTTTCTTTTTCATTTTCATTTTCTTTTAATTCTTTTTGTTCTTCATTTTTGCTTTGTGTGTGTGTGTGTGTTGGTAGCATAACATTTGTGGATACAAATATTTTCTCCTAAGATGCTTTTTTCTTGGTTCCTTTGTTTTTCCTTTAATCCTCTATTGATTGGCCCACGATATTCCAAAATTCTTGCTGCTGCTTGAAATCTTGATACCATTATCCTCCTCTTTTTGATTTTCTCTCTTTATCTATATTTCATATACATGATTTATTTCCATTCTATTCCTTTAAAATGTCACAAGCTATAACTGAGTTTTGTTTTGAAATTTAAAGGCACGTGTGACAAAATTTTTGATAAAAATTTATAATACGTGTGATTGAAAAATTGATAACAATTATGAATTTATTAAATGTGTATTTAAATTCGAGTTTGGTCGCTTACAAGGTAGATAAAATTATAATAATGTTTTATCAAGCAAACAATAATATTTAAAGTTGAATAT